GAGCAGCTAAATTTGCTGTGGTGCACTGGAAACGACGATCCCGACTTCTTAAAGATGATGAAGAAGAACTTCCGAATCACGCTGGAGAATTTGCAGTCGCTCCGGGAAGACCGGCAGCTTGCCTTGGAGAAGATCGAGGAGTGCGAGAGGCTGGCCACGAAGATGGTGTCATGGCACGGCCAGGAACGAAAGATGCAGCATGCCATCATGCAGCTCCTCGGTGAGTTTGGTGGAAGTGCCCAGTGCGAGGCTATCTTGAATGAGCTGAAAGCCAATCAAACAGCACTGACGAGCGCACGGGATGCAGAGCGAGCAGCAGCGGCCAAGCTGGCAGAGATCTCGGGCCAGAAGGCGGAGCTGCAGTGCCAGAAGTTGGTCTATGAGAGCATCGCCGAGGAGGAGAAAAGCAGCTTACAAAAGCTGCAGAGTCGAGCCAAGGAGCTGGACGAAGAAGCAGCCAAGAAGGCGGAGGACGCCGCGAAGACGCTGAACATCGAGCACATGAAGCGCGGCTTCTTCGGTGGCTGGTACACCGATTGGGTGGACAATCGAGGTGATTGCGCCAGCTGGCGTGCCGAGCGCTTTAAGGAGATCGCCAAGAGCGCAAAAGCTGCGGAGGGAGATCAGGCAGAGCGAGCCAAGAAGGCAAGCAGAGAGGCAGGGGCCGTGCAGGGCAAGTTGGCCCATGTGGAGAAGGACATGGATACAGCTTTCAAGGCTCTGGCAGATGCATCCAAAGAAACAGCTACCGCCGAGGCTGAGCTTCTGAGGACCCGCGATCGATGCAAGGAGTTGCGTAAAGAGTTCGGCAACTTGGACCTTCATCAAATTGCTGCTCTGCGAGACCACATGCAAAAGTTTCCGGAGCTCTTGGGAGCATCAGGAACCGATGACGCCAGCATGTTTGCTTGCATGAAGGGCGAGATCAGACGCCACGAAATGCTGTGCAAGCGGTTCGTGATGTTCTTGGACGAGGAGAACGACGACGACTGTCGACGCCTGCTGAACAGCATACGCTCAGAGATCTCCTCGGCCATCGAGAACGCCAAGTTCCTTGCTGCGGAGTTGGGACCCCTGCAAAAGCAGATGAGTGAGCGCTTGGCAGACATCAAGCGGTCTGCGGCCGTTTCAATCGAGCAGGCCCCCACACCAAGCAGAGCTTCGAGTGGTGCTCTTGGCGTTCCCGCGCAGTCGCCAGAGCAGCGTTTGCCAATGACGCTTGCCGAGCTCGAGGACGAAGAGCTCTTCTAGTCAGGTCTGAGGCACTAGTTGCACGTCGGCATGTGCAACTTTGGCGCAAATTGCCCTACCCAGAAGATCCGTGTCCCACCCCGGGGGATCTTCGTATGAATCAAGCTTCACGGCGCACTTCCCGCTGCCAGTGTGCAGGGGCAGTTCTGAAGTGGATCTGGCGTAAGAAACTACGGCAGCGCAGGAGAGTGCCGCATGGCGAGGGCGGACTTAGGGGTGACGTACAGCTTCTTTCGATGCAACTCTAAACTGGGTCTGGGTTCAGGCTGTAGGGTTTATAGGATTTGAAACCCGGCCAAGATCTTTTAAGCTTTCCTAAACCCGCATGTGCCGTCGGCAAGGCACTCACGATCTACACACGAGTCGCTGAGACGGCAGCGCGTGGACCGAGATTGACACGGACGTGCGAGGTTTAGCAGAGGGCGGTTGAGGGTGTGCTGTAGGGTTGGTGGTCATGGTTCAGGCTAGGGGGATTCTTCCAATCTTCCGGACAAGATTATGCCCAAACTGATCGCTTACACAACGAAAGTGATGGTTGCGAGCCACTTATCTTTCGACTTTGTCAGCTACATCCAAGCCATGGCACTGCACGGTAGTGTTGGACTACAACCCGACATGCTTCTCATTAGGCTACAGCAAATTATTCAACAGGGTTCAAACGACTTGTAGTAGAGTTGGAGTGAGGTCGTGCCTCGGAGAAAAGCTCGCGAAAGCTTTAGAAGGTCTACCGGAAAATGCCGGAGAGTATGCTTGCTCACCATGTCGGGTGCAGCTTTCCCCCTGTCCTTTACACTGTGTGTTCTAAACCCTCAGCCCTTACTCCTTGCCTATCCTTGCCTGGCAGTTCGGAGTTTTGAGCTCTGAGCTTCGGGTTGTTTTCCGCAGCGATTTTTCGGCTGAAGTGTGAGATCACCACTGGCACGCAGTTTCCAGGCACGTTTCCGATATTTGACGGTGTTCGGGTAGTTTTCGTCCAACGAGCGACAGAGTGTAGGACCTTGATGGGAAACGAGGTTATCAGAGGCATTTTCGCAGCCTCTAACATGTTTGGCATGTTTTGGGTGCCCAGACTCAGAAGCCGGAAGGGACAGCGACTGCACCCTCCCCGGCCTGCTGGAAGCACCATGCACAGGGCGATGGAGCTGATCGATCAGATCATCGTTCCTTGTTGTCTTTTAGGCGCCTGCCTGGTTATCATGGGTCTATAAGATTTTAGCCATCGGGATTTGTGTTCGCGGTGTGGAGATTGCAGCATTACCTTCGTGCTTGCGCCGATGGCTTCCTGCATGTCCAAGCATTCCTGCATTTGATGCGAGCACTTTGCATAAGCATGTGAAAAGTTGATGTACCATCAGATTCTTACAGAAGTCTCCGATGTCGAAGCCAGTGGCATCATATTTCCAGCACCCCGAGCACTTGACTGCATGCCCTCTTGAGTCCGGGCTCTGCCAAGACCTCGAAAGAAACGCAAGCAGTTACAAGTGGCCCTAAACCCTAAACAGACAAGACCCTTGCGAGGAAGACTTACAGCGAACTTTTGAGGAACCCCGTTAAGGACTCCCAAACCCTGCACCCTAAACCTGAAGCCCTCCCAGTTCCTTCCACAGGCCTCGTCGCGGCCCTGGCGCAGTTTTTGGTGATCAGGACCTGGCTACTTGGGCCTCGGGTTCCTTCGGGTGAGGCGGGTTTAGGGGTTTAGGTTTGCGGCCTTTAGTGCAGGGTTCGGTTTGATAATTTGGGTTCACTAAACCCTAAACCCTAAACCCTAAACCCTAAACCCTAAACCCTAAACCCTAAACCCTAAAAGTGTTTGGAGTTTAGGTTTAACGATTGAGGGATTTTGGTTTGGGTTAGAGTCTCGGGGTGTAGAGCTTAGCTGCTTAGCTGCCTTAGCCTTAAGCTCCGCAAGAAGCCTTTACGGCAAAACTGCCCTAATGTACTTAACGGGACGATGTGGGTAGCTACAAGTACGGTTACTGTATGGGGATAAATACCTCATTTGGGGTTACAGGTAGTTAGAAGTGTAGTTACCTTGAATACAGCCCCGCATCCTAAGTTCTCTGATCCATTAAGTACACTGTAGCTGGAATTTCGCAGCTCCCTTTCGGAGGAAAATCAAGCTGACCCCGGATGGCAAGGCTGGCTCCTCGCTTCGGGCTCTAAGCTAACAGCCGCAAGATCGAAAAACCTAAGCCCCAAACCGGTTAAAACCCCAAGCCCCAAACCCTAAACCCCGAACCCCAAACCCTAAACCCTAAACCCTAAACCCTAAACCCTAAACCCTAAACCCCAAACCCTAAACCCCAAACCCCAAACCCCAAGCCCTAGGCCCGAAGTCCTAAGCGCAGGACCCAGAACCATAAGCCCGAAGCGCGAAGTCCTCAAAGCCCGAGAGCGATTAAAGCCCTAGAACCCTAAACCCTAAACCCTAAACCCTAAACCCTAAACAACCCTAAACCCTAAACCCTCAACCCTAAACCCTAAACCCTAAACCCTAAACCCTAGGGCCCGAAGCCTTCTTGAGGAGGGGTCTGCTCTTACTTGTGGTTTGGGATCGCAGCTTTGCTTGAGGATAGAGGTTTAGGGTTTAGGGTTTAGGGTTTAGGGTTTAGGGTTTAGGGTTTTGAGTATGGGCTTAGGGTTCTTATGACAAGTTGCCATGGTAGGGCTGCATGGCGAACAGCATGCTTGCCTGATCAGGGTTTGGGTTCAAAGGCTTTCGGGGATCACTTTGTTGTTTTTCCTGAAAATGTCTTCTGGGCGTTCTCGCAGTATATTCTTTTGTAATTGCAACCTCAAGACCCCGACAGGACTCCATGGACACCCAGCCGAGACCCCAAACCCACACACTCCAGACCCCAAAGCCCAGCCCCCCAAAGCCAACTTGCAAAACCTTACGCCTATCGATTCGTCCTTGTAAATTTTCGACTTGCCCTTCAACGACCCCCTTACGGGATATCTCAAGGCCTGAAAAGCCCGAGAAACCCTGTGCCCTGAAACCCTAACCCGAAAAACACTAACCCCCTAAATCCTAAACCCCAAACCCTAAACCCCAAACCCTAAATTTCAGTCGACTCTAGGGCAGAGGCCCTTTGAAGTCCACAGGATAGCCTCAGTACTGGGCTGACGGCAGGCGGCAGTGCGGCTGCCCCAGCAATGATGGGGGGTTTGGCCACGTGCAAAGTTCTAGGGCTTGGGTTTCAGGGGTGAAAGTGTTCCTATGGGAGTTTACAAGAGGTTTTATTCTGTGTCTAGAAGGTTCTCTAACAGCTTTGTAGAAGTTTAGGCTTTTGGGCTGAGAGTTTGGGTGTTTCAGTCGGGGGCAACCGGTTGAGGTGGAGCTCTCGCATTGGGGCTTTGGCTCAGGGTTTGGGTCGTCTGAGGATTTAGGGTTTGGGGTATAGGGCTTGGGGGTGAGGGGATCCGGGTCCCATGGGTTTGCAGCATGAGCCCCGCTCGTTCAGGCCTGTGATTCGGATGGAGGGCTCACTACTTCACTACTAGTTACTGATATGAGTAGTATTAGTATGAACAAACTACTTCACCACTACTTACTGCTATTAGTGGTATGAATATGAACAATACCACAATAGCAATAGTTGTAACTCACATTCATCACAATACCAAGAACACAGAGTTCACGTAGATGCCAAGCTTGAAAAGCGCCGAGGCTCAGGCCAGGGCCTACCCAGAGAGCCCCAGAACCGTTGAAGCAAAGCAGAGGTTTAGGGTTAAGGGTTTAGGGTTTAGCGTTTCGGGTTTACGGAGGGATTAGAGGGGGCGGCTTCTCTGGGTACGAAGTGGGGCTTCCTTCTAAGGGTCTTTTGTGGTTTAGGGCCGTTGGCCGTTTAGGGTTGAGGGTGCCGGGTCAAGGGTTTAGGGTTCTGCTAATCCGGCAACCAGCAGGCTCCGAAGCCCTAAACCCTAAACCCTAAACCCTAAACCCTAAACCCTAAACCCTGAACCCTAAACCCTTGGAAGGTTGTTGCATAGGCGCAGGGACTACAAGTCCCACCTAAATGTACCCCGAAGCCTTAAAGCCTCAAACCCTTGAGCTCTAAGGCTGGCCACCCAAACCTGTACTCCGAAGCCTTAAAGCCTCAAACCTTTGAGCTCTAAGGCTAAGATCCTCGCGGGACCCTAAACCCGCAACACCAAAACCACGGCTTTGCAGGAGCAGGCGGCCAAGCTGGTGCCGGAGATTTATGAAAAGACCGGGCTGGGTTGGTTTCAGACAGCGGGTCAGTTCGGAACGGATTCGGTTGAGTTTGACCGGCAGTTCGTCTGTTTCTGAGCCTTGGATTGCGGCATCTTTGGCCAGAGAGAGAGAGTGAGAACTTGAGAGAGTGAGAGTAAGCATGTACATATTCACACATGTACAAGTAGAACATATATGGATGCCGTTCTAAACCTCTTACCTCTTGTGGTAAGAGTAGGGCCGGCATTCGGGTTCTGCATGGTGGTTAAAAACCCTCGCGCGCGCGCAAGATACGTAACATAATAACATGTGTATTGTGTTCATATATGTGGCTTTGTATTGGATTATGTTGTCACGGGTGAAAACCCCTGCGCGCGCAAGACGGCGCAAGGGCGGGCGCAAGCACTGTCCTAATGCCTGGGCATGGCTCCTTTAATTTAGAGCAACATCCATATGTATATATCGATCTATCGATGTATGTATATATATATATATATATGTATGTATATGTATGTACATGTATGTAGTGGTTCGAGTACTGGCGCCAGCGGGCTTTGCCACTGGCAGGATCATGACGGGCGCCATTCAGTTCCTCAAGGCGCCCCGCTTCAGAGTAAACCCTAGCTGTCCTAGCTTGAGGGAGATTGGGGCTTCGGGTTTAGGGTTGGAGGGTTTTGGGTTCCTGGGTGTTGGGGTCTAGGGACACTTGAGCTGCAAACAACTATCTACATTATCTAGTGATATCGTCACCAGAGTAGACTGCACTGCATCAATCCTTGCAGTGGCAGGGGCAATAATCGCAATGAGAGCTAGGAGAAAGAATCATTGCTACCCTCTATGCTGCCCATGGAAGAGCTGCTTGCAATGAGAACAGGACTCCACCTTAAATCGTAAACCTGAACTCCAAACTCTGAGCCTAAAGCCCTTAACCCCAAATGCTGTGGTAGCGGAGCCAAAGGAACGGCTTGCGTAGAGGACATTCGAAAGCTACCCGAGATGCGCTTAGCCCTGACTTACGGTTCTCGCTATATATATATATATATCATCGTAAAGGGTACTATAGTATCGTATAGCATATATAGTTAAAGATGGTTAGAGCGGGCTCTCATGTCATCGTAGCTCCTGAAGTGAAGATTGAAATCTCGGAAGACACCATGGACCGAAGAGCCTCGTTTCAAGCCGCCCCAGCCCCTGGTTTCGGTGAAAGCGGGGCGACTGCGCCGAAGTAGGTCGAGTACGCCATCTGCGCCGCGTTCTGCGTCGCTTTTGCCGTGTTGATCAGCGCTCTGGTGTCGGGATGCCCAGTGTGCAACTTCGCTGAACCTGCCGACCCTCTTGTGGCCGAGGTCTCTTTCACGGGTACTGACCAGAAGCACTTGCATCAAACTCGGTAGCTCGGGGCGATTCCCCAAGTCCCGAAACCTGAGTGTTTTCGGGCGCCTAAACCTAAACCCTAAATCCTCAACCCTAAACCCCTTATTCCCAAACCCCCAGAGGCCCTCTACCCGAAACGATCAGGTCTTGGGGAACGAAGAGCACCCTGCAAGGGCACCTTACAGCGGGCGCCTTCCTCACAGGAGCCGCCGCAGGGCTATGTCTTGAGACGGGTCAGCTTGTAGGGCAAGTTTGAGCCCCCTAAACCCTAAACCCTAAACCCTAAACTCCTAAACCCTAAACCCTTAACCCTAAACTCCTAAGCCCTGCAGGTGTAACGAAACAGAACAGCCTAAGCCTAACCCCCCCCTCCCAAAAAAAAAGGAAAAACTTAATCGCGTGTTAACACCAAGGCAGAGGGCCGCTTAGGGAATAGTTGACGTGCAGAGAGGGGCTTCCGGTGCCGTTTCCATTATAGTAACTGTAGTAATCATAATCATAGTAATCATAATAATAGTAATCATAATAATAGTAAGAATAATAGATGATGCTTGGGAACACTCGTCTTCGTCGGTTCTCCGTTTTTCTTCTTATTCTGCATTGTTTCATTTTTCCTTCTTCTTCCTCAACACTGCCGTCAACAGCCGCCTGGCCTTATGCCAACACCTTCGCTCGTCTCTTCGGCAAGCTAGCCGTGCATTCTCCGACGTTCTTGCAAGCAACTCCTCCTCCTCCTCCTCCCGGCGACTTGCTTCAGGAAGCCATCGAAATCATAAAGTCTCTGTTGCTGTAGACGGCAATCTTTCTACACAGCTACTCGGCGTGATTCCGAAGATCGTAACAGCACGCAGTACGGTGGAGTAACCTTGAATTCTAAACCCTAGCTCAACGGCCGTGGTTGTCTCTGTGCCGATGACTGGTGCCTCGCACAAGCCAGATGACCTTTCCAGGCGAACTTTCAAACCTTAGCAGCATGTTGCCTTCGGCACTTTGAACATGCTGGCGAGGAGCTTTCACGTCGATGCTCTGTGGGTTCCTGGGCATGATGATCGCCACCTACTCGAACGCACGCACCACCCTGGCCTGTGCCTACAGCGGCTACACCCTGGGCTTCAACACCGCCTTCCGTGGCGGCAGCGTCATGGGCTATGCGCTGTGCTCTCTGGGTGTCTTCGTTCTCTGGGTTTTGCTGAGCTTCTACCGCACCATCTTCCCGGAGGCTGACGACTGGGAGATCCTCTTCGACTGCGCGGCCGGCTATGGCCTGGGTGGCAGCACCGTCGCCATGTTCGGACGTGTCGGCGGAGGTATCTACACCAAGGCTGCCGACGTCGGTGCGGACTTGGTCGGCAAGGTCGTTGCCGGCCTGGATGAGGACGATCCCAACAACCCCGCCACCATCGCAGACAACGTCGGCGACAACGTGGGCGACATCGCCGGCATGGGCGCGGACCTCTTCGGTTCCTTCGCTGAGAGCACCTGTGCCGCACTGGTTATCGCCGCCGCCGCGGTGGAAGGCTCGCACCACACGCTGGCAGATGCCGGCTGGAATGCCATGCTCTTCCCTCTGGCCATCTCGGCTGTCGGCATTGTCATCTGCATTCTCTGTGGTTTTGTGGCCACCAACATCTCGCCTGTCAAGGAAGAGGCCGACATCGAGACTGTGCTGAAGGTGCAGATGGTGCTCACAGCCGTCCTGATGTTGCCCGTCATCTACTACCTTGCAGTTTTCTTGCTCCCTGCAGAGTTCCGTTTGGAGGGTGTGCGCCTGACAGAGGACGGACACCCGGCCAAGATCACTGGAAGCCCGTACAAGTGCTTCATCTGCGCCACCATGGGCTGCGTGGGCGGCCTCATCATCGGTTTGGTCACAGAGTACTTCACCTCCCACAGCTACGTGCCCACGCGTGAGCTGGCCGCCGCGTGCAAGTTCGGCACCGCCGTGAACATCATCCAGGGCTTGGCCTTGGGCTACAAGAGCTGCATCGTGCCGGTCTTCGTGCTGTCCTCGGGCATCTTCGTGTCCTTCCAGCTCTGCGACCTCTACGGCATCGCCCTGGCGGCTTTGGGCATGCTCGCGACGCTCTCCTGCGGCCTCACCATCGACGGCTTCGGCCCCATCTCGGACAACGCAGGCGGCATCGCGGAGATGGCGCTCTTCGGCCCCGAGGTGCGCCGCCGCACGGATGCCCTGGACGCCGCCGGCAACACCACCGCGGCCATCGGCAAGGGCTTCGCCATCGGCTCCGCCGCCCTGGTCTCCCTGGCCCTCTACGG